TTAATGTATCTTATGTGAATGATAAATAGACATTCTTCAGAATCTGCAGAAAGCACAATGACAAATGATATCATTAACAGCAGAAATTCGAGAGTCTCGTGGTTCACTTTGTTTTTTTGGTACTGAAGATTTAACCCAAAGTTCTTAACCACTGAGCCACATCCCCAGCTCTTTTTATTTTTTTAATTTGAGACTGGATCTCGCTATATTGCTGAGGCTGGCTTTGAATTTGCAATTCCTCCTGCCTCTGCACTGCCTCAGCCTCCCCAGTCATTGGGATTACAGGTGTGCCATCACACCAGCTATGCCTGAACATTTTTATCAGCATCATGAGGCTTCAGGAAAGCAGATCTTAAAACACTACTGAGTTTAGGAAAAGACAACACTAGGGAGAAATAAATCAGAGCTGTGTCCCAACAGAAGGAACAAGGGCTTAACACTGCAGGTGATATTTGAAATGTAAAGTGAGAAAATAACAACAACAACAAAGCTTGCATTTTACACATCCTCTATCTTTGTCTCTTTCTCTATCCACCTGCCTGCCATCCGTCCACCCATCTATCCAGGAAAGTGATTTCTTATATAAATCTGTTTGCCCACTAGTGCATCTTGGGCCACTCTTAACCAACAGGGACAATTTTGATTTTTCTAAGGACAGAGAGAAAGCTTAGCGGTGAAATGCAATAAAAGCAGCAACACATAAAAAGCTTTCTCATGATGCATGAAAATGTAGGACACAATTTTTAAAAGTAAGCTCTTCAGAATTCAGAAACGGCAAGGCACTTCCCTCCCACACCTCATTGTGAGCAGTATCTGAAGGGCTTTGAAGTGTCGCAGCAGTGGGGATCCTGATGTGGCCCGGGAGACCGCCCCATGGCATATGTGGGCCAAAAGCCATCACCTGTCTGTTGTCTAGATAGGCAAAATTAAAATGTAAGAAAATGCTGGGTTCTGGGGGGAGAGCATATTTCTTTGAAGTGTCTTTTCAAACCTGGCTAAGTTCTCAACTTTGAAAATTTGGGAAGGTTGGTAATTTCTCTGTGCCGGAGTCAACACATTATGCCTACAGTTTGGGAGAAGATAATTAGCACGTTTAAAAAGTCAAACTGTTTCTTAGTTCCACAGAATATATAAATGGAGGAACCTCCCTCCTGCATGGGAGCTTGTGTCCTCTGTGAGAGAATATTCTTAAAACGCTCTTCATTGCCCATGTAAAGTCTGTACTAGAAAAACCTTTCAGAGATGAGGCGTCAATGTGAAATGAGTTCACTTGTAAATAGGGTTTTAAAACACTAGGTTAATTAACGAGTCGGGATAAACTCTCAGGAGAATACCAGCAATGAGCTTGTGGTGTATGGGACTCATCATTTCCATTAATAGAGTCGAGATACACACCTCATTCATCATGTAGCTCGATAAAAATACAACTTGGAAATAAATAAAACTAACAGAACACATAGGCACTGAATCACTTCTGTGGCGCTGTGCTTCAGGTGGCCTGAATGTTCCTGATGCACATCTTTTTTCTAACTCTGGAGTCCTGGCCGTAATTCAGCCCACCACACAGTCTCTGCCTTGAAACCTCAGCATTGTCTAAAGCTTTCTTTTCTTATCAACTACTGTGACCAATTTATTACCAGATCTTCTCAATTATGGCTCAGAAATAGCTCTCAAATCTGCCCTTGCCACTCACTCTACCACCAATATTTTTGTCTAAAGCCCTGTCCTCTAGGCTACTTAAGAGCCATTAAAAAAGATTTTCCTAAGTACCACTAATAATAGCAAACACCTACACTGTGCTTACTGTGTACGAAGAACTGTTCTAGGAGCAATCGATTCTCACAAGAGTGCTATGATAGATGCTGTTATGTCTATTTCATAGAGGAAAAAAGAGAGAACAGAGAGGTTAGGTAACTTGTGCAAAGTCATACAGCTGGTCAGGAGAAGAACTAGGATTTGAACTCAAATGGTGTGTCTCCAGAGTCTCTGCTCCAATGATTCATTGTTTTAATTTAACCCATTATTATTTTATTATTATTTTTATTGTCGTTACTCTTTTGGAGTAGGCAACAGTTATCTGGTTCAAAATTCAAAGCCACAGAGGGCATATATTGAGAAGCCTCTCACCTAAGTTCTCTGTTGCACAGGCCCCTGCTCTGGAGGTATTGCATGATTAGTTTTTTCAATAGCACCCCAAGCAAATGCCTATCTGCTATTTCCCTCCCTTTTTATGGTATGCAAACATAGTATACTCTCCTATAGTCTAGAATACAATTTGGCAAGTTGCCCTTTTCAGTTAACAACATGGATTGAAGATCATTCCAAATCAGTACATGAAGAGTTTCCCCATTTCTTCATTTTTTTCCTCTCTTTCTTTAAAGACTGCAGATGGTCTATATTAGGAATGGACAGCTTTTTCTATAAAAGGCCAGACAGTAAATATTTCAGGCTTTGAGTTCCATATGGTCTCTGTCACATATGCTGCTGTTGCTTTCCTTCTTAAAAAGACATTTTAAAAAACAAAACCCACTCACGGGTCAGACAAAGACAGGCTACTGGCCAGGTTCTCAACCTTGCCAGGTTTTTACCTTGCCTCCTTCTACTCATTCGTTTTCTGGCCTGGCTCCTTCTTGACCATTCTAAAACAGCAAACTTCCTATAAAACATCTGAGGCTGCCACTGCACTGTGTGAGCCCTTCCCAGCTCCCCTATTCTGGTCCCCAGAGTCTGCTAGCTCTGCCCGACTGTCCTCTGACGTCATCACTCCCCATCTCCTCCCTCCCTTTCTTCCATCCTCTCCTGCTGCATGAATTTTTCTGTTCCTCCAACTAGCCATATCCATTTCTGCCCTTGAGGTACTGCTCTGCTGGATGGCTCCTTCCTGAGGTGCAGTCTCCGTTTGGATCCTTCTCCTCAGAGAGGCCTCCCCCGCCCACCAGGGATGGCTCCCCATCCCCCACCGCTCTGTTTTTTCCACGGTCCACGTCGTGGCATCTGTAATCACACTGGTTTATCTTTACAGTCCTGGTTCCGCTAGGACAGAGGGGTACCCCAGTGCCCAGTACGTTGACTGATGCAGATGAACAATCAGAATTTTCTGATCAGGTGAATGGAGTTTTTATACCTTCCTGAGCTAGGGTCAATGTCTTCTTTGTTAGCTCTGAGAGCATTTTATACAGACCTTCAGGATCCCACCCGGCTTTAAATAGTTGCTGATCACAAATGCTTATTGKTTGATTTATCTGTATCTTGAATATCAAACATCATGCATATCTACAAAACCTTTTCAATAGCTACAACAAACTCCTTCAGGTCAGGGCCACCTTGAATGGGGTTTAAATGGCAAGCATCAACACACATGGTACTACTTAGCATCTATCCCTGGGCTAAGTGCTTTCTCACATGATCTCCTTTAGCCCTTATAGTAGCCTCAATGAGGAAACTAGAGCTCAGTGAGGTTTGTAAGTTCTCCCTGGCAGATTAGGAATTCACCACCAGGCCCTCCTGCAGCCAGCCATGGTGAGATGGCTCTTTGAAGTTCTGTTTGCTCTAGAGGTCTGAGGACACCAGCATGTGGCACAGACCTGCCCTGTGTCCCTGCACGGGGACCTGGAGGCCCAGCTCTGCTCAGGGAGGAGTCAACCGAGACTCTCTCCCTCCCCTGCAGCAAGGTCCTCCCTTGGAGGGGCACAGATGTCCCTCTGCCAGCCAGATGGAGAGGCATGGTGATGAGGCTGCCCTCTGCACACCTGTGACTGTGCCAGCCCCAAGGGCAGCCAGATGTCCTTGGGGCCTGCCTCCTGCTGCCACATGCTGCTTATCCATGTGGACATAAGCTGCTCTGCCAGCTCACTCTCGGGCTAATGCAGAGGGACTACAGGGGCTCTGGGCAGGAGGGCCAGGCGCCTAGAAGGCAGGGGAGACAAGGGCAGAAGGAGCAGTGGTCTCTTTGTCCTTTCCTTTAAAAGAAGAAAATTTTCTCACAGATCCTATCAGGGAATAATAACAGTAGACAATAATCAACCTGATTTTTCCTCAGAAGTATGGACTCCTTCTATAGCAAAGCACTTCCCAACATAAAGGAGAAGACAGTATTGGAATATTTTAGCAGTGATCTGGTTCTATTTGTGAGCAACTTTTCCACTCCTTGGGAAAATTCTGTCAAGAGAGTGGGTTTCAAATGTTTAGGCTAATGCTACTCAAGGTGTGGTCCTGGGACAGCAGCATTGACCTTACTGGGCAACTCCAGAAATCTAACAAGTGCCACTCTGATTCTGCCTATTTTTTGTGCAACTGTGGTTCAGAGGCAGTGTTGCATTTAGATGCTCCTGAGATCAGATCTCAGCTCACTGCCTGCAAACTAGGTGACCCCAACTAATTACTTCATCTCACTGAATGACAACTTCATTAACTAGTAAAATCAAGACACAATGTCCACACTTTCAGCTGTGAAGTGTAAAGGGGATAATGTACAAAAAGTGCTTATATCAAATCAGCAGCCTATAGTAAGTGCTTGGTAAACATTAGGTATTACTCCTATGGGAAGAACATACCAATTGGTTGTGCCATTGAACATTTGATTGGGTCAGAGTGTATTCATTTCACACATAGGGACAGAGAAACCCAAAGGGGTTCACTTAATGAAGCATAGTGACTATGGTTTTTCTGATATTTACTCTGACCTTAAAGACAAAGAAAAAGGATTATGTGGTAGTAGCTGTCAAATTATCAAACACTAAGATCTACATTTTCATCTGCAGGACTTTAAGATATATATATGTCTTCCAACTTGAAAAACAGGGGCTTAGAGAATATATGTATTCATTCCACACATGTAGGGCTTGATACCTGTGGATCCCTGGGGTGGGAAATACACACCAGGCCCGCTGGTGTCCACCCAACTAGGAGCTGGGGCCTCCAAGAGGACTTAGGGCTTGTGCTGCTAGGCCCTGACATCAGTAAGAGACGAAGCCCAGAAGAGCAATGGAAAAAGGCCTTACCTGGGCTTCTGCAGCTTCAATGCTGTGGGAGAGATTTCCGTTTTGTACAGGTTCCGAAGCATCGCTGGAAGGTGTCATTTCAACTTCTGTGCTCGTGCTATTTGGGAGTTCGATTTTTTCTGTGACATAATTTAAACACACACACACACACACACACACAAAGAAAACAATGGAATCAATGGTGGTAAAGAGTCACATTAAAAAAGAGAAACCTAAAATGCTGGGCCAGAGAGAAGATAGATGGTGGTGTCTGAGGCCTGGGGCTGGTGTTGGCCGAATGGCAAAGGGCCTTTACCATCCTTCCTGTGCCTTCTAGCATACTGCCCTCCTGCCCTTTGACAGGGCTCTGGCTTGCACTGGCATGATATCAGCTGGTGTGCCCCTCAGCCCCGTGGAGCTATCTTTCCTTTCCTTTTGCTATGATGCTGGGGATGGAACCCAGGCCATGGCACATGCTAGACAAGTGCTGCACCACTGAGCCATGTCCCAGCCCTCAGGTCCCACGGCATGTCCTTCTCCAACAGAGGCAAACTAGCCATTCAAAATACAAATGTAGATACTCAAAACCCAAAGCCACACCCAACCTTCGCACTGCTGTTCACCCTCTGGACCTTGTCCCTTAGTGTTTTCTCACCATGGGGTCTTGCACACTGTACTCTGCAGAGGGTATTGGTACCTGGGCATTCTGCCACTATAAGGTGTTGTCTTAGGCAAGTGTCCTCCTTCCTTGGGGTTTTGACAACCTTACCTGTGAAGTGAGCTCTTCAACTGCTGCATCTCCAGGGCCTATTCCCTTCAGCTACTTCTCTCAGGCTTTGTGAGTAGAAACTCTGCCAGTGCCTCAGTGTTCACTGGGAAGACAGGCTTGGCAAGCTGGCCCTTCTCATGAGCCTGGGGAATGCTACTGAGCACTTTTCTCACCAGGGCATCCCATTGCAGGCCAGGCAAAGAGGAACCAGGCAAGCAAGAGAGGCCCAAGTCCTGAATGAGGCAGTGGTTGGCTAAAGTGGAGCGCTGGGTCAGCAAGTGCAAAGACAAATTTTCTTCCGAGAGTTGAGAAGTGACTCGAGGGCTATGACTGAACACTGGGACTCTGTGACGCTGGGAACCAGACAGGTCTGTGTTCTTTATCTCACTCTACTTCTTATGCAAGTGACTCAACCTCTCTGACATTGAGGCAATGTTAATAGTACTACAATTATTATTACCACTACTGCTACCCCCACCATGACTACAGGGCACTTCTATAAAGATTAAATAAGAAAATGCATATAAAGCACTTAGCAGAGTTCCTGGTACAGAACAAGAAAGTAGAGACAAAAAATGTGAGCCCTGTTACAGTGCCTGCCTTTTACTAGATTTTTTTCTCCAGGGCTAAGAGGAGCACCTCCAGGTGGTCAGTGTTCAGGCAGCGCTGGGGTCACGTGGAACTTCAGTGGGAAGGAAATAAAAAGGTTTCTATTGGAATGACACGCTGTGTGGGGTCARGCCCCAGGCTTCAGGGGGAGAATGAGGCTGTGTGGTGCACTATYAGGGCTGCTGGAACCTTCCAAAGGCTCATCAGTGTCAGATATAAGCAGGATCAAGTGGCTCACGGAGTATCAGAATGTTTTTATTTCTAGAAACTTCAGAAGAATTAAAGGTTTCTGATATTCACACAGAAGAAAACAATTTGCAAGGTATATAAACATTGTTGTGCTTGAAGGTGCCTGATATCGGAAATCACAGGAAGTGCATTTAGTGGTGGCATACAGAGATATAAATTGATTTAAATATGGAAAACCACAGAAACTCATTTTTACTTTATCTGTCCATGTTTTTAATAGTGACAGTGATTAGGAGTTGATGTTTTGTGGGGCTCTGCCAGTTTATCTTGGTATGTTTGATTACTAAGTACCTTGGGGAGTATTAAAACCCTATTTGGGAGAGCGTACTGGCTGGAATGATAAGCCTCAGGATTTGCCAAACTTGCTCCTAGCGACACAGGATTCTGGGAACCCAAAGGGAATAAGAGCATCCAAGGATAGACASGAAACCACCCACCAGGCCTAACACCTAACTCGAGGATGCACATCTTAGCTTAGGAAGTACTTTCGCRCGGCAGGCTGAGGTTTTTGTCACCAAGGAAAAGATAAAAATAAATCTTGGACTTAACTTTGAAAGCTTGGATTTTAGACACACTTCTATTTTGTAGTTACAAAGTTATTCACAGAATAATCGACTTGCAAGGCTCCTTGGAGTCCTGTGTCCCACCTCATCATAGGTCATCGTTCAATAGGAAGAGGGCAGAGCTGGAGCCCAGGCATTTAAATCTTACCACAGACAACTTCATTCCACAAAAGAGAAATCAAGTGGAGAAGAGAAAATAGATTGTATAATTGAACCTAAATATCACAAGCCAAACTTAACCTGGACAATAGATTTTTGTGGTATGGTTTTACATTTTTATAATACAAAGGCGAAACATGCTTATTCTGAAGGAAATGTGTCCAAGTTCACAGAAGCATAAAGAAGCAGACAAAACACACAGTTCTTAGTGCTGACTTCAAGATATCACCATTGTTAACATTTTCGCTGATTTTTGTTCAGTTTTTCTTTTCATACCCAATCGAATCTTGACTGTTTCTTGGCCAAAAATTTCCCTGAGCTACAAGTCAGGATAACAGGAGAGGCAGAGACTCTTCTACAGAGTGTCATGTATTTTGAGTGCAACACTGTTGAATTTTGTCTGCAGATAATTTTAGTTACTTGGGCAATAGCTTCGTTTATAGCATAGATCCAGATTAGGTTAAATTTAGTTTGAATTTAGAATTAGAGAACTGTATTATAGTTACAGACAGGAGAGGAGGAACATCATGTTCCAAGTTAAAATAAGATGCCTGAATGTCACAATCTGGTCACACAGGAGCTCTGGAAAAGTCAGCCAAAAGAGACCTGGGCTGGTACTACTGAATTCTTGAGAAAGAAGAGGCAGCCTCGGCCCAAAGGTACTAGGCCATGCAGGGAGTGGCCAATTGGTGATTTAGTGAATGTGCTGCAAGCAATGTCCTAGGTATTAAATCTGGTTGCTATTTCAGAAGGGGTACCCTCACCTTTGGTTAAACATTAGGTGACGTGTGTGTATGTGTGTGTGTGTGTGTGTGTGTGTGTGTGTGTCCTTTATGTGGAATCCCTGAAACGAAGCCATTATCTACTCCTGAAGGGTAGTGTCTGACTGGGAGTTGGCTAGAATCATTTTACTCTCCTTGGACTTCCCCTAGAGTTATTGGTGAAATACTGTGTCCTTTTCTTCCTTGGATCCATGTAGGGAAGAGAGACCCATGTCCAGGTTAGGGCCGACCTACAGGGTTCTATGTCAGCACTGAGTGAGCGGTGCCCATGCGGTGCCCTGCCTCTCAGCTCCCAGGAAGGGCATGAGATGGGGTCTCCGAGCACTCACCCACGTGATTGGCAGCCCCATTCTGCCTCTCGTTCTCATCCACTTGGCATTTCTTCTTGGCAATCTTGTGGAGAATTGAGGCCTTTTCTCTGAACCTCCCTGAAGCAAGAGAGAGTGGTGGGAAGGAGACAGAGTGAGAGGAAGATCGAGTCTGGTGGCAAAGGAGGAGCCATGGAAAAGCATGTGGCTTCTTCAGTTCTGCTGCTCTGGAGCAGTGACCACACCATCCTGTCCAACCTAACGCCCTAAAACCTGCAGGATCTGTGATTTCTTACCTGTGTGGGGTCGTTAGCCTGGTAATCTGTTTGAGAACCTCAAGCTGCTGGAGCATAGATGAAAGGTTCGTGACTTGGACCTCTTCCCTTCCCTCCCAGTTGCTTACAAATAATCCAAAGCATCAAGCATCACTGAAACTCCCTGCTGCTGAGATCCAAAACAGGTCAAAAGAAACAGAGCTGCTCTGGAGGCACAGACATTTCTCTGGAATTAAATACTCATCCCAGATTGGCTGTTGACAATGGATTGGGAAGAAATACCACGCCCAGGAGTCCTTTGTATTGACTTTGACTTTTAAGCTTTTATCATAATTAACATCACAGTTTCTAAATGAGTTAGGACTGGGCATCCATGAGCTTTCCAGATCAGCCAAGTTCACTATAGTTGAAGCTCTAAAAAGGCACTTGGTTCCATTTGGGAATCTAGAGCAAAGAATGATCAACTGAGCATGGCAAGTAATGCTGGTGCTGAGATACTTTAGGAAAGGTGCTGGAACAATACCCTTCCCAAAGCAATCATTTAAAACAGCTGTGCCACAAGTGGAACACGTCATTTCTTCATTATGACACAATGGGTAAAGGCATGCAACAAGCACAGAAAATAAGCATGCAAAAATGTAGATTGGGGAGACAGCACATTTCTCTGGTCTTCTTTCATCTTTGATTTTCTTCCTTRGGAGCACCCAAGGTGCAAATATTCTCATTTTAAACCAACTGATCATTCAGATCTGATGAGTTCTTCAAAATGCCATGACCCTTGTCATTCTCCCATCGGGCAAAGTTTTGTTGGCTGTGTTTCCTAGCAGCACGTTAACAGGGCTTCCCATTCCACTTTTCTAGTTAGAACCAAACCAAACTAAGATGTTTCTCCTGGAGAGGCTCTTCTGGAATGGGACACGGCAGGTTGGCATCCACCTGCTCCTCCCATGGACGGAAAATCATGGCATGTGGTGAATAGTGGTGACAYGTATGACTGGTTGGGAGTAACAGAACCTGTAAGCTCCACTGGTGAATGTGGCAGGGGCTAGGGCCATTCTGCTCACAGCTCCATTAGCCATGACCTTAGACACCTTGCTACATCAAGGCAACCTCTAGGCAAAGAATGTGCAGCCCAAGGTGTATTCTCAAAGGCAGCATCAAGGGAAATATCATACACAAAAAAGTGCAGGTCAGTCTTCTGTGTGGGCTGCAGAAGGGACGAGAAGGAAGGATGGGGAGCGGGGCATGGCATCCATCTTTGAGGGATGCTGAAGGTCAGCCTGAGGTCAACAACCTGGAAGGTAGTTTGAATTTGGTTGTTTCTATTTAATCTCCCAGGTAAACTGTAGGAAGAAAAAGGGAAACGAAACAAGGCTAGGGAAAGGAGGAGGAAGGAGAGCAAGGAAGGAAAGAATAAAAGAGAAAAAGAAGGAACCAGGAAGGAGGCGGAACGCAGGGGATGAGATTGCCTGGAGGTTGCCCAGGGGGTGCCGATGCCAGGTGCTTGTCTGGCTGCCAGATCCAGTGTTTTCTGAGGCCCAAGAATATAAGAGTGATCTTCAGAAACTCTCTAGCCTTATGCCTAAAGAGGGGATACTCCCCATGGAAGTATCCCAAAAGTATCCAATTCCAAAAAGTCCCCAAAGCACATGATTTTTACTCTAGAAAATAAAAAGGAGATTCTGAAATGTCATTGGAGATGATGCTTCTCACAAACCCTGTGGTGTCAGGATTGCTCTGTGAGCATAGATCATGCTGTAGCTCTGTGAAATAAAGATGATCAATATTTGCTATTTTAAAATTACATATAAAATAATAAAGTAGGAAAGAATTCAGAAGAGGAAATAAGATTGTGGAAATAAAACCCGAGATAATAACCCAATCCAAACAAAGTTCTAAAATCAAGAATAAAGGCAGAGAAACCAGCTAGAAATCAGCGAATGGCCTATTGTTTGTGGTTACAAGAATCTTCCCAGAGATTAGGTGTGTGCCAGAGAGAGAGATACTTACAAAAGGGACCTTGAAATATGTTAGGGTATAGCCAATTTACTCTGYCAGGAAGCATCCTTCAGTACAGTGTTGGTAACACACAGGGTGGGGTTTTCCTAAATTCTCCAAGGGAGGACTATGTGGACACAGTAGGAAATGATTCTCGACCTGGGATTTTGGAGTTTCTCATACATTTTACATGCCAGTGAGGGTTTTCTGAACTGTCTTAGTATTTTTTTTTCCACTGTAGCAGCACCTCTGATTTCCTCTGCTGTTGAAAAGTAGAAGGGATTCACCTTGTTTGCTTTCTCTTGGGATCTAGCCCTTTGGGCAGGAGGTAAAGCARCTGAGGCTGGTTGGTGAACTATCTTTTCTGCAGATTTCAACTTCTTTCATTCACCTTTTCCTGACCATTGTTTGTCCCCACTGTCATGACCTGACAACCATTGTACATTCTAAGTGCTGACGATGCTGCTCTCTAGCCTGGAAGGATTTCCCCTTGAAGATTARTTTCTTGAAAGGCAGAAATGAGGGCTGACCTTCAGAATTCAGCACACACTGATGCTCCTGGAGGGTGATGGGCGGGGCTTGACAAAGGGAGGTATTCCAGTCCTGTGGACATCCCAGGGACACCCCAGAGTAGCTTCTGAGAAATGAGGCTCACAGGACAAGAATGACCATGAGATCTCTGGGGCAGAAACCAGCACAGAACCTGTGGTTTTCAAAGTGACCCTTTTGCCTTAGGGTAGGAAGACATGGCACCTTGAGGACCTGTTCAGGTTCAAGTCACAAGCAAAACGTTTGTGAAAGGGACAACAGGGTATTGTGGTTAAAAAATTGAAGCAATTTAGAGGCAGGTGGGTCTGAGCCCAAGCCCAAGTTCTGTTGGGTGATTTTTGGTACATTCCTGCATAATTCTGGTCTTCAGTTTTCTCATCTCTTACATGGGGATTCCAATCGTATTGGCTCACAAGTTAAATGTAAGTAAGCCTTACAAAAGAAAATTTGTGTATAGGGCACATCACAGTGTAAAGAATTGGAAAAACTCTGTCAATAAGAGGAAAAAGAGAAACAAATCAACAAAATGCCCAAGGGCAACGGTGATATGGCTCCAAGTTGCTTTAGGAGGGCTATTGCTATTTTCTCTTCTTTAAATCCACATAGGCAAGAGCAGAGAATCAKTCACATGCAGACCTAGTAACATACTAAGACCTTGTGGGATTGGTGCTCTGGTTTTACAGAATCCTTAAAAAATCAGCTCCAAATTTTAGGCACATATTGCTGTAAGGGATGGCACAGAGGAACTGATCTAAGAAACAATCGTGCAACTTTGTGCTTGGTGACAAAGAGTGAAGGTATTCTTCAGTACTTTTCAAGGTCAACGAATGAGCGATTTTTATCATGTTTTAAGGCTACCTTAAAAAATATACTCTGTTGTGGCGTAAACCCTAAGGTGTTGAAGTTTTATATAGCTACAGATATTTGTATACTTAGAAATCTCAGAAATAGCAAACTCTGCTCAAATCGTGAGGCACCTACGTCAAAACCTAGTGTATAATTTTAAGATAGATTAGYTTGGTCTGAAATTTGCAAGAGTACCAGCTGAGTGTCCTCAGAGGAGTGTGTGTTGAGGGGGTGGTAAGGAAGTATGGAAGGAAAAGATCAAAGCATAAAGGCCCAATGTGAATAAGAATGAATTTAGAAAAACATCCGGCAATCAAAATCTTTGACCAGATCACTCTGAAATGAAACAGAAATCCCACGCTGCAGTGCAAAGAAAACCATCGGAGGGTCTGTTCACTCAAAGGAAATAATTTGGCTTCTGTTCTGCTGGTTAATTAATTAAGACAGCCCCTTGCACATTCCCACCAAGCCTGTAATAGTCAAAAAGAACCCTTTGGGTTGGCAATCTGATTAGCTCCAGGCTGCCATGGAACATTCTGAGCATCAGCAACAGAGGAAAAAAAAAAAAAGAAAAAAAGGGACAAAAGAGATAAGATGCAAAAGGAGCTACCACACACCCCTCAGTGAGCAGCCTGTGGTTTGGGGAAAAAAAAGCAAAAAATGAAACAGAAGGGAAAGTTTGAAAATAAGTCTTTTAAAATCTATTTTTGTGTTTTCAGCTCTGCCTGTCCTGTGTTTCTCTGAAGTTTGTGGCTTGGCAGGTAGTTTCAAAGGCAGAAGTGCACCTGAATTTGCCTCCCATTTATTCTGTGCCTTTTCTCCAGACTCAGATCATCATCAGACAGACCATCCTCACCCTGACAAGGCRACACAACTGATGTGGCACTGCGGGGTCATCCTGGGCTTCTCTTTCTCCCATCCTCCACGTGCACCTTCCATCAGCAACTCTGGTGCCTCTATTTTCAAGATATTTCAGACTCTGCCCACTTCTTCCTCCCCAGGCGGTTACCCCTGGGCCCCACCAGAAACAAGTCTCTCGGGAGCAATCTGTCTAGTCTGCGTGTATCCTTCCTACCCTTACCTCTTCTTCCCCCAGGCTCAAGGACTCAACTCTCCCAAGCACACTTAGGGGTCAGTAGTGTGGACTAGGTTTCTCTCTTCTCTGTGCACAATCCTGGAATGGCTCTCTAGGTCAAAGTGAAAGTCAAGACCTTACAATGCCCTGCAAGATTCTATCCAATGAGGCTCACCCTGGCTGCCTGGACCTCATCCCCACTCCCTCTCCTTGCTGAAGGCTTCTCTCTGGATACCCACACCCCTCCTTCTCATCAGAGAATGTTTGAAATTCAATATTCTTAGGGCACTTCATACACCAGTCACAGCCTCTTTCAGCTTGCTGCCCACATGTCTGCTTTGCCCACCAGAGGGCAGTCTTCTCTGGAGAAGGGACTT